TAAGACTATTTGTGAAATTTTTCTCTGCTTTTAATGCCCGGATTCTGTTACTAGTGTTTGTTTGGATTTGTGGGGTTGTCATCTTATGATGACAGGCGATCTGTTATCTGTGACTGTGTGTACTCTTGTTTTGATCTTTTGGAGCTTCATTTTGATTTCAGTCATTTGCGAGTGAGAAATCAGTGCTTTGTACAAGGGCTAAATAGTAGAGATTTGGGTGAGCAAACAATGTTGAACAATTGATGATGACAACAAATCAGATAAAGGAGAAATGTTGAGGAATAAGGAAAAACTGTACAAGTTCTGATCAAGAGTCATATTATTGAGAACTATTCATAGAAAGACCGTTTATTCAAACGCGCACACAACAACAATACAATTAGCACAATGTTTATACGTTCAAGTTGACCTGTGCTTTACTCCTACATAGCTTTCTGAACTATATTCCTCCAGTGTGTTTCACATCTTAGAGTGTGGTACAATTGTCATTTTCGACTCTGTGTGACCTATTGCTCCCTCAGACCTCGTTTTCTTGAGTTTCTCTTTGAGTTTGAAAAGGACCGAATGTACTTCATCAAAGTGAGGTTGGCTTGCATTCTTTGTATCGTCGATCCATTTCAGAACTCTCGGGTGGGGACCCAATATTCTTTCTCGATCCTTCTCATCCACGACCTGTATTAATAAATAATTATATTTGCAAAAAATAAATAAATAAATATAAAAGAACATTAGAAAGCTCAAATTACGATGAAACAAGGATGTATTTCAGCAACAGAACTTGTAATTTCTTGAGCTGGGCTGTTAGGTTTTCACAGATCCAAGTGATTTTAATTGGATAAAAACATAGAGCCAAAAAGAAAAAAATATAATTTCTCTTTTACATATTAAGTGAGACCACAAATGGAAACTCGAAGCACAATGTTATACATATCTAGAGAGGTCATAATTAAAACTATAAGACATATCAAGCACAATGCATGGCCAAGCTTGTAAACTAAACAAACAGCTTCATTGATAATATAAAAAGTTTGAGCAAGCATCGATTATTTACCTCAAGCTGCATGATCTCACACACCAAAATAAGATCTGCTATGGATGGTTTTGAACTTCCTAGCAAGAAACTTCCGTTTCCTCTAAGCCATACTGATTCAATCTTCTGAAGAGAAGCTGAGAGGAGTTTTTCACTTTCATCTGCTTTTTGTGGATTCAATGAGAGTCCGAGCGCAGGTGCAAGAGTCGAATTGAGTACATAAGAAGCTGCAAGTGGAAAAATATCCTAATTGTAAGGGAAGTAAAAAGAAAAGTCACAGAAGAATGCAAGAAAACATAAAAAATAACTCTAAGATTCTAGGGACATAATACAGACCCATTTCCTTGAAAAACTTTGTACAATCATAAATGTCCAAATGCCACCCATTTACGACCCATGTTATACTTTGCCTTTTATGTTATTGCGTCAAAAGCGAGAGAGTGACAGCATATTCCTTCACAAAAACAGGAAAAAGGAAAAGAAAGAACAAAAGAAAATGTGCTATGCATGTTTGCATGCTTTAATTGTTCCACCATCTTTTTCTTATTCTTTGTTTACTCTACTACATAATTAATTAGGAGTTCAAATTACTGAAATACTAAGAATGGTCCATATCCAAATGTAAAAGTCCTAAAGGAAAAAACATAAATACCAGCACCGAGCCGTAAGTTCAAGTGGTGCCAATCCAACACAGAGTGAACTTTTGCTCTTTTGAAAACGTCAGCAGGATACCTGAAATGGCCAAGAATTAGGTGGCTGAAGATGAACATATGCGTACACATATAATTCTCCGAGAAATAAATAAGAACCATAGTCACATGTGGAAAAATTGACATCATTTTTTCTACCATCAATACTATGTGAACTGACATTTATGTCAAATAACCAAATTAAAGAAATTAAAAGCTATCCACAAAAATGAATCAACAAACATGGTCAGTTATTGAACGAGCAAATTACATCAAGAGGAATTGAACCAGAAGCCATTAACAAGCTACGCATAGGGAAAAACACGACCTGAAGGTCAGATGCTTTGAATTTGAACTCTAGCTATTAGACGATACATTATTCTGGCACGAAAACTTACAGCGTTGGCTAATGGAATAGTAAAAGAAATGGGACTCACCAATGATCAGCAACTCCAGGGAACACACAAGCCAAGTATATCAGAATTGCGTGGCTGCAAAACACTCCAAGAAATTCAAGACATCAAAATACGTTATTTTTTTCGTCTTAAACTCTCTAACAAAGCAACCGTAAACAAGTGGCAATCTAACATAGCATCAAGGTGCATAGCTGCACATTGTCCATAACTACTCTAACAGAGCAAAAGGCAAGAGAAACATAAATATGTTATTGTCTAGGATTTGGACACTTTTAGGATTCTAGTATTTTTTTTCTTGTCTGATACAATCCTATAACAAGCAAATATCACCTCTCGAAAAGCTTGAACCTTCCATCCACAATTGCAGGCACTTTTGCCATGGGATTTACATCTAGAACAAAAAATAATCAAAGAACAGAAATAAGGGAGAGGAAGAGGAACAGATTCAAGCAATCAAGTAGAAATCGAATCATGTCTTCGTGGGTTGAAATTACAGCAGGAAAATTGAGCTGCGCAAATTGGGCACCTCGAAATTCAGGAGTCAATTGGCGGCGCTTGGAAAGGTCGATTTTCACTTCTTCAAAATCTATCCCATTTAATCTGAACAAACCCACAAAAAATTGGTACTTATTAGTTTCGAATCACAGAAAATTGAGGCTTTATATGTCGAAGAAGCTGAGTAGTGAGGTTGGTAAGGGATAAATTACTTGCAGAAGATGATGACTGCGCGCGAAGGCTGCGACATGCGATCTGCGTACACTTTCAGCGTCATTTTCTTGGATTATCTTTGATATTTCTCCTCCGTTTCTCCACGAGCAACAATGGCGCCGAAGGCCCAAAGTTGAATGACGACAAATGACAATGCCTTTTTCTTTTTGTTTTCTCCTTTTTTTTATTTTTTATTTATCTTTATCTTTTTTTTTTTTCCAATTTTATCTGCTTGTAACTTTTGGAGACCTCAGCTTCAGAGAAGCAGAATAGCAGCTAAGACCTTCTCCAACCTTTTTTTAATATCAATTCCGTCCTGGTTGTTTTGTAAATTTTTATTTAGATACTAATTTAATTATATTGTTTAGCTGTATGCATATTATTTGTCTTTTTCCGTGTTTTATTTTGTGTTTATTATATATTTTTAAATTTTAAAAAAAATAAGAAAATAACAAACATGGGTTACAATATTACTAAAACATTTATAGATTGTGCATATTTGACAACAAGTTGAATCCAATAATTGTAAAAATATTTTTGGAACATATATACACGCCCAAGTGTTATCTATAAAAAGTGAATGTTCTGAGAAAAAAATTATATTAATTAATCTACTTGTTAAATATTTGTTGAATTTGTAATGAGAAATATAAATTTGTTTCAATGCCATAAATGGGAAAAGTGACATTAAATTACAAATTTAATAATGAAGAAAAAAAATAACATACAAGTACTACAATAAAACAAATATTTTTATGTGTATGAATTATTAATCCTTCGTTAATTTATTTATACATTTTTCCATCCAAATAAAAAATAATAATGTAGTTAACCTGTAAATATTTAATATATGTGTGCAATATTGAAAAATTATAAAAATTGATGTGAAGAAGAATGTTATAGGAATATTCTTTTAGGTTTGAGAATGAATTTTTCGGTTGAAGAAGAAGTAGTGTTTGGTGTGACAGTTACTAAAAAATAGGATTGAAAATGAGTTTTTCGGTCGCAGATGGTCTAAGGTAGGGGTCGGGAGTCATTTGATGTTTTTTTGTATCAAATTAATTACATAATTAAAGAAAACAAAATAAAAAACATTTTGATGAATATTTGCTTTTGTGCAGTGTTTTGTGACACGGACCGGCCCGATGGGTCGACCCAGGACCCGGGCGACCCGGAGCCGGAACCGGTCCGGGTGGAGTATTTGGACCGGGCAACCAAGGACCCGGTCAAACCCGACCGACCCGGTCTGAATATTTTTTTATATTTTTTTTGTTTTTTAAAAATAAAACTATGTATATATGTTTATATGAAAATATTTATCATGAGATACATATTATTAACACTTTAATATACAAATTTTATACACAAAACATTTAATTTTGTTACTTTTATGTATATTTATATAACAAAAATACTCTATATATAATTTTAAAAATTTTAAAATTAATTATCCGGTTTAGCAATTGACCTGGTGACCCGAGGACCTGACTGAGTCGATCACCAGGCCGAGTTTAAAAACTATGGTTTTGTGTCATTTTTTTGTATTTTCTTTAAATGCATTAAGATGGATAAGAGACATAATATAATAGACTGGATCATGGTTGATATAGAGAAATAATAGGAAAAAAATAGAATATATCTACTCCAATGCAATTTCTTTTAACTTGAGTCTAAAGTGAATGGAACGAAATAATTATGAATAATTTCTTAAAATAATAACTTGAGTATAAAATGATGTAAAAACAAATAATCATGAGGTGTTTATTGAAATAATATTTTTTTATGAAAAAAGCTTTGGGTCTTGATTCATGTCTCAAAATGAATCACCCAGCCCATTTTTCACATGCCATATCATCTAAACCTAGTGCTTTTTTATTTGGAGAATCATTTTTTTATACAAAATGTGCAAAAACAAATAGGAATGCAATTTAAAAAAAAAAAAAAAAAAATCTTACTTCCTCTGTATTATACATTATATAAAAAGAAAAAAAAATTATGGTCGGAAAGGTTATTGTATTTAAATTCATTGGAATTTGTATTTTTTGCATTGGGAAAAAAGGATGCCGATGGCCAAGCCCCAAAACAAATTGTTCACAACATCTTTTATTGCAGAAAACTTCAGAAAAAAGTAAATGTCAATGAGACTTGCAACATAAAAGGGGAAATTAACTCATAACTCACTAGCTCACACAAAGCAAGAACACAACATCACACTACAACAAGCACGATTACTAAAGAAGCGTGTTTTATTTGAACCCTCATTATTTGCTCGCTTGAGCCTTGAGTTGCTTGAGCTGTTGATAGGCCATAGGTAAAATGGAGTGAATTTCATCGAAATAAGGAGCTGTTGCCTTCTTCGTGTCCTCAACCCACTTCTGAACTTTCTTGTATGGGCTTAGTATTCGATTACGGTCTTCTTCATCGACAAGCTAAAAGTGCAAATAGAGGATATAAAAACTTCTCATCAATCAACAATAATGATTAATTTCGACAAAAAACTAATCTATTACCTATGTACTTCAAAGTTCAAATCAAGAATAGGACACAACAATTTTGTTAAAGTTAAAATCATGCAACAAAAATTTTGTATCTTTTCTTTTGTTCTATGATGTAAAAATGGTTGTTTAGAAATGTTTTTTGACAATCACATGCGCGCGTAACACAAAGTACACAAATGCTGCTATTAGGCTGTGTAACCGTTAGACAACTATATTTTCTTCCATAAAAATGCACAATTTTGAATTCAACAAGTACACAATAGGTACATTTGGCTTTTTTTTTTTGTCTTACCTCAAGTTGCATGATTTCACAAGCTAAAGCAAGATCTGCAATCGAGGGTTGAGAATTTCCGAGCAAGAAAGGGCCGTTTCCTTCGAGCCAATGAGACTCGATTATTGCTAGAGACTTGGACAGAAGTTTCTCACCTTCATCAGCGGCCTTTTGGTCCAACGGCAAACCAAATAGCAGTGCAATACCGGCCGCATTGAATATATACCCAACTGAGTGTCAATAAAAAGCATAGTAATTAAGTATGCATTTTGATTCGATTAAATCGAAAAAAATTAAAAAAATATCTTGATTTGATCATGAATTATCATTTGTAATTGCAACAAGGTTTAAAATTCTATGCAAATGTCCATATATTGAGTTGCTCTTCTTGATTCACTACATATCAACCAATTTCAAGTGGCAATAACATTTAGTATAAAGTT